ATAAGGCCTATAGAAGTAGGACTGCGTAACAATATGGCAGACTCTGATCAACATTAACAGCACCAGGATGAAGGAGGGGTCAAAAATTAACCGTGTGATATGAAAAGTTCTTATGAAATCCGCTCAAAAGGGAACACCACACCACATTTAAATAAACAAGTAGAAATTGTGATAGGGAAGGGGATATAAGGATATAGGATTGTTGATCAGCCCAGTAATGAATTATAGATACCAGGTTTGTTTACCAGACATTAAGTCAAGGTATTGGCTTCCCTTAACTCTAATGAGTTGTAGTGTGGTGCTATAAATGACAATGCTCACTGGCAATTTGGGCGAAGCGTCTGGGAATGTACCACGTCCACTGTCCGACTTAGGAAATTATCATGCATACAATGGAGTCCAGACTAGGTGCGTTCCTCAAAGTCTTCCTTCTAATATGACCGAATTGCGAAAACAAGGTCAAACTACTTCAATACACCAAAAGGATACTGCGAGCACACAAAGGCCACTCCATCTTGGTCTTCATACCTTCAATTCTTTATTTTGTTCATTGGAGGTAATTGTCGAATTTGCTGAATGGATAGAAGCAATAAACTTATACATAATATTTTTGGAATAAATAATAAACTATATTGTTCGGTATGAAATTGCATAAAAGATTGAACCTAACCTTTTTCTTTGCCCTTATTTTTGCGAGTTCAGCAGAATCAAAGATGCGATCAGGGCGCACGAAATGGCGGTTTGGACGTAATCGGGCGTGTGAAGAAGAGGCTAACGAATTCAGGCGTAAGTTTTCTGAAAGTAGGCCATCTCCTGAAGTATAGATATTCTGATCATTGCTACCGTCCCGAGAAATACTGGGCGAAGACACATAGAGGGAGCGACTTGTGCTCGAGTTGAATAAAAATATAGCTTGATTAGAAGCTTGGCCTAGTTGGGCTTGCTCAGCAATATTATCACCTGAGCTAACTATCTGGAGAGATAAATAAAAAATATTGGATATGATTAATAATAATATTGGATGGAGAATGGTCAACCAAAAATATGCATTTGGATGACCAGTTTATAGAAGATATAAAAGCGAGCCAAAGACCATTTGAGGTAAAACTATCCAGTATAATGACTAAATATTACCATTAAATCTTGTTTTCATGTCCTGCTTTGTGAATTAAACGTGCATTAAACGAAAGAGAAGAGCTATGCAGAAACGTAGAAGAGTCTAGGACGATAAATCTCACACTTGATAATTAAATCTTCTGACAACGCAATAGCATGCCTATTCAAGATAAGAAAAATTAAGCTAAATGGCTTTTTGGGCGATCTACTTACCTGACGAAACGATGGATTCCATAATAACATTTCTTAATAAGCTTACTTTGCCTATATTCCCCTTAGCAAAGTCCTGTTACATGTAGATAAGAATTTAACTTTTTAATTATTTTTATTAAGAATTCAGAAATGTTTCAGCAGAAACTTTTTGTTGGAAGAAACAATTAATCTAGAAAAGTTAAATGACCCTAATGAATGGTAGAATTGCATTAATTCGCCCTATTTTTACCCGATATCCAAATAAAGATGACTGTAAGTAACCGTCGATTAAAAATTCTCAATCAACTACCTAGAAGGGTTCATAAGGATATATATCTCCATTGTTGAGTATAACCTGCCTATCTATCCTAATCTGACTACTAATTTACATGTCAATGTTGTTTCAGTTGTGCGTGCAGTATAAGAAAAGGTTTGCAATTTTGACAGACTGTTGTTGCAAAAGGAGTATGGGCCCGAGAGAAAATAGAAAGATTAACTATGTAATACTCATGGATAGGTTAAGAAACCTAAGAATGTAGGCAATACTTAAATTAATTCCCTTTGTAATCTCTAAGCGCTCTTTCATGCTGAGCGTAAGAGCCTGAATGGCTCCGCGAAGTGGAATATTTGTGTACAGTGATAATACATCAAAGCTTATTAGTATTTCTTCCTCTGAAATACTTTGCTAGTCCACTAGCTCAAAGGAGCATAAAAATGTTTAAAAAGGGAGCTGAGTCGAACGGTCAAAAGGGGCATAACAGAGAATGAAGAATGAACATGAGATAGAATGGTCTCGAACGCAGAAGTTTGCTACAAAACGCAAGCTAAGAGAGGCTATTGAAATTAATAGATTAAGGTATACGATGAACAAGTCGTATTCGAAAGTTGAGTAAGGACTACTTATGATTGTCTGACAGGTTGAAAGGGGGGTGTTAAGCCCCTGTCCAAAAAAAGACGACAATTAACCAAATTCATACTCGTTCAACAGGCATGTCAAGCTCAACAACCAAAACAAACGTGCAGGACTAGGCGATTCCAGCAATACTTGTCCTTAAGTTACATCTTATTACTTTATCCATGATCACATACGGACTAACGCAATCTCAGTCATCTTTTTTTTCTTGAGCAATTAAGCCTTAATAACTGGGGGCTGACGAAAGGTTTTTTTCTAATTACTTTGAGCTATGATCGGTTTTGCGTACAGACGTTAATATACATATACACACAGACACAATAAAGTGTACATGAATTTCCCAAACCTTTCTATATCCATATTTATCTCAAATTTTGCACGCAATAAGTATATATATTATATAGAAAAAGGCAATTCAATCTTCTTGACTTAGGGTTAACATGGGGCTTTTGCAAGAATTAGTCCCAACTCTGATGATGTTCGTCATATGACGAACGAAATCTAAGCCCATCTTCGTCCGATTCATTAGAGGATGCTTCGTGGAGTGCATCAACCCGAACGTCGTACTAGGGACAAACGGCTGTAGTAAAAGGCGAATCAGCTGAAGTCTTTTGGTGAGATTGAACTACGAATCTCTTCATCATGTACTTCAATACAAAATGAAACTCTTTACAAGAATACATTAATGATACCTTTATAAAGCATGTTTAAGTATAACTCTCAGATTTGATTTGATGAATGCTCAATCTTGGTGTGCAAGACACGATAGCTGACGATGAGCTGAGGCCATAATATAAATATAGACAATTGAACTTAGAGGAATTCCAAGCTAGTGTAACTCCATGTACCAAACACAAACTAGCAATATTTCACATATTAAGACGATTAGCAACGTGTTTGTGATATAAGAGTTAAAAACTGCTAGATAACATATTTAGCCCTAGTAAAACGGAAGATATTATATACCTGCTTTTTAAATTGTTTCTGCCTTAATTGAGTCGAAGATAGATTTCGATGACCACCGAGACTGCAATGTGCCTCGATCGTATCGATGACAGCTAGTAGAGCGTCAAGGGAAAGGAGATGCGTGCCCATCAATTTGGCAACAGGGTAGGCATTACGGATTACCATCCCAGTAGTTTCTTCAAACAAACTGGCACAGTATAGATCACAATCGTAGTTGACGTATAATTCGGCGGCGAAACCTGGGAGCAAGAAGAGCTGTACTAGGGAGTCGAGTGCAATCTCACGCTGTTCATAGCTGAAGCGGTCGCTCTCTGATGATATAATATTAATCAATCGCTGTAGATAAACCTAAATGAACAGCAAACGGATACACAAGGCAAATATGAGGATAGTATAGATGTTTATACGCGGGGCACCAAAAGTTATGCGATAAATTTATCATGTAGGAGGATTTGATGGAATTCAATTATTTAACTAAAATTAAAATTTTCCTTAAAAAATGGCTGAAAAACCCGTCAAATATAGTCCATTTTAGCCAAGGCTTCAGCTACGATTGCTTTCAATCAACATAAAAGTAGGCTAAAAGGCTATTAAGCTACTTGATTTTCTATTATATAAGTTTATGGAGAAGCCATCTTTTAAAATTGAGATATCGAAATATATTAGATTAAAATGTTGGATGCTAAGTCAAGTATTTACTGAAAGCACTGCTTGCACAGGTAAAAGTTAAAATGAAA